TTTTGAGATGGAGTCACTCTTTTGCCCAGACTGGAGTGCAGTGGCATGATCTCGGCTCACTGCAACCTCTGCCTCCAGGGTTCAAGTGACGGGGTTTCACCATGTCGGCCAGGCTAGTCTTGAACTCCTGACCTCGTGATCCACCCTCCTCGGCCTCGCAGAGTGCTGGGATTACAGGTGTGAGCCACAGCATCTGGCCAGGATTTTTCAACTGACTTACAACAATTGGGTATTTGTGTGTGTGTGTGTGTGTGTGTGTCTGTATTTTTATATATAAATATAGTTCATGGCATTTTGTCATTTGTCTGTACAAGACCATTGTCTTGCTAAATTTATTTTTTTATTCCCTTTATCTGTGTGGCTTTCACCTTTTCCCTTCCCTCCATAGATAGCCATTCTTGGTCTGATGTGCTGCCTCTCTTTAAGCTCTTGTAATATGGTAGAAATGCAATTTTACTTTGCATACATAGTATTGTGGCGTGTGTGGTTTTTTTTGTTGTTGTTATTTTTGAGTTTGGAGTCTTGCTTTGTTGCCCAGGCTAGAATTCAGTGGCATGATCTCTGCTTACTGCAGCCTCCGCTTCCTGGGTTCAAGCAATTCTTGAGCCTCAGCTTCCCAAATAGCTAGTATTACAGGTGCCTGCCACCATGCCCGGCTAATTTTTGTATTTTTAGTAGAGACAGGGTTTCGCCATATTGGTCAGGCTGGCTTTTAATTCCTGACCTCAAGTGATCTCCCCGCCTCCCAAAGCGCTGAGATTACAGGTGTGAGCCGCCATGTCTAGCCCATAATATTGTGTTCTAAGTAACTTACTAATTAATATTTCTTTTTTTTTTTTTTAATATTTCTCTTTTTAAACTTAAAGGCACCTCTATAATGTAAATCACACAGACTCTGAAAACCCACATGCCAACCAACCAGCTACAACACTTGCTTTAAAATACTCTCATTTTGGGCCAGGTGCAGCAACTCTCGCCTGTAATCCCAAAACTTTGGGAGGCCCAAGCAGGTAGATCACTTTGAGGGCAGGTGTTCAAGGCCAGCCTGGCAAACGTGGCAAAACCCTACCTCTAATAAAAACACAAAAAATTAATCGGGCATTTTAGTGCACACCTATAATCCCAGCTCCTCAGGAGACTGAGGCACGAGAACTGCTTCACCCCAAAAGGCTGAGGTTGCAGTGAGGCAAGATAGTGCCACTGCACTCCAGCCTGGGCGACAGAGTGAGACTCTGTCTCAAAAGAGAAAAAAAATTACTCTCAACCGGGTGCAGTGGCTCATGCCTGTAATCCTAACACTTTGGGAGGCCAAGATGCATGGATCACCTGAGGTCACGAGTTTGAGACAAGCCTGGCCAACATGGCAAAACCCCATCTCTACTAAAAATACAAAAATTAGCTGGGTATGGTGACAAGCGCTGATAATCCCAGCTACTCAGGAGGCTGAGACAGGAGAATTGCTTGAACCCAGGAGACAGAGGTTGCAGTGAGCCAAGATCGCACCACCTGGGTGACAAGAGCAAGACTCTATCTCAAAAAATAAAAAAGAAACAAAAAATTACTCTCATTTTCTATATGTAGCCAATGGACTCCTCATAATCTAGAGGCTATTTCTACATGCTCCAAACTGTAAGGCCTGACAAGATGTGTTTTAATTGAGGTTTAAAAGAATAGTGAAAAATCAAAGAACAACAATGTAGGATTTGGTTCAGTGACGAACCCTGGATTGTACAGTTTCCAGGCCGGGTTGAAAGCTTGCAGTAGTGAAATAGATAGTTCAAAGCATGTCCTGGGGCAAATTCCGGGACCAGGTCTTTAGTGCTTGTTTGCAGAGGCCCTTACACCTGTAACAAAGAGCACTTTATGTAATTAATTGCTTTGCACTTCCAAAGAAGTGAGGCCAAGCCTACAGGTTCTCAGAGCCCTTTCCTCCTCTGATTTCTTAGTTTCCCTATCAGAGCCTTTCTATGACCCCAGTAAATGACTGAGCAGTAGATCTCTTTTAGCCTCCCTGTACCTCCCATTAAATGCCAATAGTGCAGCCCACCCACAAGTCAACAAGGCAACCTGCATCTCCAGATGTTCATGGCAGGAGAGGAGGTGGCATGCTGCCACCAGTTACAAACTACTATATTGTTTGGGGGAAGCTGGTCTGGAGGAGTCTGCTTTTAAAAGTAAATAAGGATTATAGAAATCATTGCTTCAGCAAGAATCACCCATAGATGCTAAATCCATTGAGTGAAAGTTAGTTGCTGAACAACATATTCTCAAATTATCTACCTGCAGATTATAGATATATCATATAGTGAAAAAAGGTACCTTTGCTATGAAGAAATCTGGTGGCCTTTCCCTTATCCAAGTGATCAAAGTTAACATCATCAGTAAAAGCACAGACAGACATCACGTGCCTCCCAGTGTCCTGCGCTGGGAGGCTACAGCATCACCTCTGTAGTTTCTTGTCCCCACCGCCAACCCCCAAAATGGATGATCTGAATCTAAATTATGAGGAATAATCAAGCAAACTCAAACTAAGGGGCATTCTACAAAACAACTGGCCAGCACATTTTAAAAATGTCAGTGTCAAAAAAGAAAAGAAAGAGCCATGCCAACTAAAGGCCATATTGGATCCTGAATCCAGAAGGGTGCAAGGTTGCTGTAAAGGACATTTTTGGAAAATCTGACAATTTGAATATGCACCATATAGTTGACAATAGTATTCTATCAAAGTTTTATTGCCTAAAATTGAAAATCAAGTTGAGGTTATATAAGACAATGCCTTTGTTCTCAGGAGATCACACACTGGTATTTATAAGTAAAGGAACATGACTTCTGCGATTTATTTGCAAATGGCTCAGCAAAACAAGAAATTACGTAGGTGTGTGTCAATATAGAGAGAGAGCAGACATGGCAAAATATTAACAATGAGTAAACCTAGGTGAAGAGTCCATGGATGGTCACCATACTATTCTGGTAACTTGTCTGTTGTATTGTTGGTTTTCAAAATAAAAACATTACAAGTAATCAGATAACTGAAGAAGAGCTTAAGCCATTTTCAGCTTCATGCTGTTTGCTGGTCCTATTCTAAAAGCCAGGGCTTGTGCCTATTCAGGTATCGGATTTGGAGAGACACTGCCAATTGGCTGGAGATTAATCCGGACACTGGTGCCATTTCCACTCGGGCTGAGCTGGACAGGGAGGACATTGAGCATGTGAAGAACAGCACATACACAGCCCTCATCATAGCTACAGACAACGGTAAGGGAGCCTCATCGGGGCCTTTGCTGCCTCACCCTCCTGGCTAGTTCACTTCCTTGCCCCTCTCTTCTTTTGGAGGCAAGAGTTTATTCTTTTTCTTTTATTGTTTTTGTTTGTTGGATTGATTTGTATAAAGGTATGGAGTATAAGGGTAATTTTGTTACATGCAGAGATATATAGTGGTAAAACCAGTTCTTTTAGGGTATGCATCACCTAAATAACATGCATTGTACCCATTAAGTAATTGCTCATCATCTACTCCCTCCCACCCTCACCCTTCCCAGCTGCCATTGTCTATCATTCCACAGTCTACTTCCATGTGTACACACCTCTAAGTGAGAACATGCAGTATTTCTCCTTATGTCTGGCTTGTTTCGCTTGAGATAATGGCGTCCAGTTTCATCCCTGTTGCTGCAAAAGATGATTCTTTTATTTATTTATTTTTATTTATTTATTATTCTTATTTTTGAGACAGAATCTAGCTCTGTCGCCCAGACTGGGAGTGCAGTGGCACAATCTCAGCTCATTGCAACCTTCGCCTCCCAGGTTCAAGCAGTTCTCCTGCCTCAGCCTCCCGAATAGCTGGGATTGCAGGCACTGGCCAACACACCCAGCTAATTTTTGTATTTTCAGTAGAGACAGGCTTTCACTGTGTTGACTAGGCTGGTCTTGAACTTCTGACCTCGTGGTCCACCCATCTTGGCTTCCCAAAGTGCTGGGATTACAATTGTGAACCACTGCACCCAGCCTTGTTTTTTCTTTTATTCTTAAACAAAGGCGTTCTTATTATCAAAAAATTCAGGTGGGCTGGGCACAGTGGCTCACACCTATAATCCCAGCACTTTGAGAGGCTGAGATCAGAGGATCACTTGAGCCCAGGAGTTCAAGACCATCCTGGGAAACATGACAAAACCCTAAGGGAAGTAGACAACAATGGTTTACATTCTAGGTCCAAAGCTTAATACTCGTGTGACCTTGGATTTGCTGTTTAATTTGTGTGTCCCATAATTCCTTTACCTGAAAAGTGATAATACCCACTGGATGAAATGAATTAGGTGTGGGTCCTTCCAGACTGTTTCTGTGTATTTAAATACATTTATAGACTGGGTGCCAGGCTTACGCCTGTAATATCAACACTTTGGGGGTCTGAGGCGGGAGATGGCTTAAGGCCAGGAGTTTAAGACCAGCCTGGGCAACATACTGCCCATAATCTCAAAATGCTGGGATTACAGGTGTGAGTTATCATACCTGGCCTCCTTAAGTTAGTGTTAAATGACTTGTGCTCATTGTTTAAAAAAAAATTTAGCCAGGCGTGGTGGCTCACACCTATAATCCCAGCACTTTGGGAGGCTGAGGCAGGCGGATCACCTGAGGTCAGGAGTTCAAGAACAGCCTGACCAACATGGAGAAACCCAATCTCTACTAAAAGTACAAAATTAGCCTGGCATGGCGGCGCATGCCTATAATTCCAGCTACTCGGGAAGCTGAGGCAGAAGAATTTCTTGAACCCAGGAGGCTTGGAGGTTGCAGTGAGCCAAGATCGCACCATTACACTCCAGCCTGAGCAATAAGAGTGAAACTCCATCTCAAAAAAGAAAAGACATTTTACGTGAGAAAAAAAGTTTTAAAAATTTACAGTCATGCCATCTAGACATATCTATTTGTAGGTTTGAGATGGATTCCTCTGTTGTTTTGTTTCCCTGTTGTATACTAATCTTGATGATAGTTCCCTGGGTACCACTTTTTTCTACTACCATATGCTTGGTTTTGTGTCAGGATGTGAAAAAAATGCAAACAGAAGTGTGGATGGGCTGGGTGCAGTGGCTCATGCCTATAATCCCAATACTTTAGGAAGCCAAGGTAGGAGGATCACTTGAGCCCAGGAGGTCAAGACCAGCCTGAGCAACATGGCAAGACCCCCCCCACCCCTACAAAAAAGTTTAAAAACTAGCCAAGCACGGTGACATGCACCTGTAGTTCCAGCTACTAGGGAGGCAGAGGTGAGAGATTAGGCCCAGGGGGTAGAGGCTGCAGTAAACTCTGTTCATGCCACCACATTCCAGCCTGGGTGACAGAGTGAGACCCTGCTTAAAAAAAAAAAAAAAAAAGTTGGTCATGGTGGCTCATGTAATCCCAGCACTGTGGAAGGCTGAGGTGGGTGGATCACCTCAGCTTCAGAGTTCAAGACCAGCCTGACCAATGTGGTGAAACGCTGTCTCTTAAAAAAAAAAAAAAAAAAGGTGTATATGAATTCCCAAATCTATTTTGAAAACCAATTTGCAGAGACTCAAAAAGACCCAACTCATCCCCTTTGATTTTAAACTTCTAATGTGGCTTAAAATAAAAATAAAAGACTCAATGCTTTGATAATGACCTTAAATGGCATGAAAGCACAGAAAAAGACCTAGGGAGACAGCAAGCAGGTAATAAGGACTTCTCGGAGCTGTTAAAATTCAATGAATGGCTCGGCCTTAGCGCCATTTTTTTTTGAAACCTCTGCGTCATGAGAGCCAAGTGGAGGAAGAAACGAATGCGCAGGCTAAAGCGCAAAAGAAGAAAGATGAGGCAGAGGTCCAAGTAAACCGCTAGCTTGTTGCACCGTGGAGGCCGCAGGAGCAGAAACATGGAATGCCAGACGCTGGGGATGCTGGTACAAGTTGTGGGACTGCATGCTACTGTCTAGAGCTTGTCTCAATGGATCTAGAACTTCATCGCCATCTGATCGCCGATCACCTGAGACCTACCTTGCTCATAACCAAAACTGCCCATGTTGGTCCTTTGCCCTGGACCTGTGACATTCTGGACTATTTCTGTGTTTACTTGTGGCCGAGTGTAACAACCATAAAATAAATCACCTCTTCCGCTGTCTTAGCTGAAGAATTTAAAAAAATAAATAAATAAAATAAAATTCAATGAATGAATAATGGCATGTGAAGAAGGAGGAGGGTGTCCTTGGTGTGAGGAATAACTTGAATAATGGTTATCAAAGTGGGAATAAGCTTGTCTGTGTAAAATTGTCAGAGGCCTGCCCACCTGGGAGTGGAGATGCCCTGGGATTGGTAGGATGGGAGGTTCTGGGGGTGGAGTGGGGCCTGGTGAGGGACCACTGAAGAGCCAGGACAAGATCTGGATTGGGTCTGGTAGAAGGCAGTGGGGATCCATGACTGTTCCCGAGCTGCAACATTTCCTCTGCATTTTCTCTTAGGTTCTCCAGTTGCTACTGGAACGGGGACGCTTCTGCTGATCCTGTCTGATGTGAATGACAATGCCCCCATACCAGAACCTCGAAATTTATACTTCTGTGAGAGGAATCCAGAGCCTCAAGTCATCAACATCCTTGATGCAGACCTTCCTCCCAATACATCTCCCTTCACGGCAGAACTAACACATGGGGCAAGTGCCAACTGGACCATTGAGTACAATGACCCAAGTGAGTACCTGAGCTTTATTTTGGCAACTGTGCTGTGACTGCCATGCTTTCCTTCCCCCAGATCCCCACCTCTCAATTTCTCTTCTCAACTTCCAGATGCCACCCCTTCCATTGATACTTGTTTCCTTGTTCATTCTGTCTTTGAGGCCTTACTCCAAAGGTCTCTTTCCTTTCCTGGTATCTAACTTTGCAGCATGCTACCCAGTAATATAAAACCCAAGCAGGGCTCCCTCTCCCAGCCTCAAACCACCCTCCAATCTCCTCTCCACTTGCAACCTCCAGGACTATGTTCTCTGCCACCTCCCACTCCTGGGACCAAACAAGGCCATTTTTGTGGTTAGCTCCTTCTTGCCCACCAACTGTGAGCTCCCAGATTGTCAGAACTATACCACCAAGGTGGAGGCAGCTATCAACCGCCTGTTCAATTTGCATCTATGGGCCTCCTACATCAACCTCTCTCTGGGCTTCTATTTACACTGTGACGATGTGGCTCTGGAAGGCATGGGCCACTTATTCCACAAATTGGCCAAGGAGAAATGCAAGGGTGCTGAGTATGTGCTGAAAATAAATGCAAAACCAGTGTGGTGGCCATGCTGTCCTCCAGGACATCCAGAAGCTGTGTCAAGATGAATGGGGTAGGCTGGGCGCAGTGGCTCACATGTGTAATCCCAGCACTTTGGGAGGCTGAGGTGGGTGTGTCATGAGATTGGGAGTTCGAGACCAGCCTGGCCAAGATGGTGAAACCCCTCTCTACTAAAAATACAAAAATTAGCCAGGCGTGGTGGTGTATGCCTGTAAACCCAGCTACTCAGGAGGCTGATCCAGAAGAATCACTTAAACCTGGGAGGCGGAGGTTGCAGTGCGCAGAGATTGCGCCATTACACTCCAGCCTGGGTTACAAAGTGTGACTTTGCCTCCAAAAAAAAAAAAAGATGAATGGGGTAAAACCCTGGATGCAATGGAAGTCGCTCTGGTCCTAAAGAAGAACGTGAACCAGGCCCTTTGGGATCTTCATGCCCTGGATTTCATCCACACAGACCTCCATCTCTGTGACTTCCTGGAGAGCCACTTCCTAGATGAAGAAGTGAAACTCATCAAGAAGATAGGTGACCACCTGACTAACCTCTGCATCCTGGCCGGCCCCCAGGCCAGGCTGGGCGAGTACCTCTTCGAAAGGTTCACCCTAAGGCACAACCAGGAGCCTACTGAGCCCAGCAAATCTGAAGAGCCACTTTCTGCCTGAGCCTCTCCCTCCAGCCACTAGGCAGCTTTTTAACCTGCCCTAGAGCCCTCTCCCAAGCCTTAGACCAAATGGAAATAAAGCTTTTTACAGCCAAAAAAAAAAAGTAGATACCTAACTGAAACCTAAGTAGCTCTGCTCTCTCTGCTTGGCTTGCAAATGTCTTTAGTTCACTAACAATTTTATTCTAGAATGAGCTTTTTTTTTTCTCTCTCTCTCTCTCCTGGTCTCATCATTTCTTTTTATTGCTTTCCCCAGCCCAAGAATCTCTCATTTTGAAGCCAAAGATATACTTAGAGGTGGGTGAGTACAAAATCAATCTCAAGCTCATGGATAACCAGAATAAAGACCAAGTGACCACCTTAGAGGTTCACGTGTGTGACTGTGAAGGGACCGCCAGCGTCTGTCGAAAGGCACAGTATGTCGAAGCAGGATTGCAAGTTCCTGCCATCCTGGGGATTCTTGGAGGAATTCTTGCTTTGCTAAGTAAGTCCAGCTGGCAAGTGGCTCAGCCTTTGACTTAAAAAAAAAAATGGAGGAGGTTTATTTTCTGAAAATGATTTTTGTTCTTATATTAGTTAGGGTATGGTTTAGCCAATATAGGAAAGGGACTTCCAAGTTATGCTGGCCTACATAGAATAGAAGTTTGTCTCTTACCAAACGGTTCAGAGGTAAATGGTCTAAGATGGGAGGGAGAGCAACCCTGTGCCATGAAGTCAATGGGGGACCCAGGTTTCTTCTATCTTGTTTATTTTCATCCTTCAAGTCAGTGCATCCCAAGCTTGAGTGCATGCAAATCACCTGGGCCTCTTGGTAAACTGGGAAATCTGATCTAGGAGGTCTGGTGTGGGGCCACAGATTCCGCATTTCTAACCAGCTCCCAGGGGGTGCTGATGTTGCAGTTCCTTAGACCATAGGCAGAGTAGCAAGACCTTGGGGGCTGCCCCAGCATGGTCTAAGCTAGCCAGCTCACCACCACCACCACCTCTACATTCCATCCTAGATGGGGGAAGGGGATGAGAGAGGAAGTGGAGGCCACACGACTGGAGGCAATGTCACCTCCACTTATTACCATTGGCCCAAACACAGCAACACCTAGTTGCAAGGGAGTGTGGAAGCTTCTACTTGGAATTGAAAATTGCCATGGAGTAGGGATGGAGTGTAGGGTGAGCAGTGAGTGAGTATCAATGACTAAAAGGTTAATGGAGAAGAAGGATGCTGAGGAAAATTGGCAGATTCTGCCATAGTCCTTAAACCTGTTTCCATTGGAGCCCACCTGGAGTGACCCCTCGGGGTGACACAGGTGCTGTTATGGTCAAGACAAATTCTTTTATCATTCACAGAGAGAAAATACTGAATCTATTAAAGGAATAAATTAGTTATGAAAACAGATTATGTGCATCATATGACAAAGTATCCACATGGAGTACACTACATCAGAACTCTGGTAGGGCTTTAAACTTGTGAATGATAGAAGAGCAAGCGAATGATTCTCAATGCAAGTGATAGCAAGTCACTTAGAAACCTTTGACCAGGTATGGTGGCTTACACTTTGGGAGGCCAAGGCACTGGATTGCTTAAAGCCAGGAGTTTGACACCAGCCTGGACAACAAAGCAAGACTCTGTCTCTACAAGATAAAAATGAAAAATATATTTTTTTAATTAAAAATTTTTTAAAGAAATGTTTAAACATCATATATAAAGGGCTGGGCGCCGTGGCTCAAGCCTGTAATCCCAGCACTTTGGGAGGCCGAGGCGGGTGGATCACGAGGTCAAGAGATTGAGACCATCCTGGTCAACATGGTGAAACCCCGTCTCTA